CTGCGGTGTGAACTGCGGGCTTGCACGTGTTAGGCAGGCACAAGCCAAGGGCTCTACCACTAAAACTAACCTGACAAAACGAGACAAGAGGGGGACACATTACACGTAATACCTTGTGTGACGCACACCAAGGGAAGCCTGAGCAGGGACGGGAAGCAGGATCCACGTCCTTAGGGCATAAGCAGGGAGCAGACTCAGGTTTTGTTCGCTGTTGCTTTTGCACCACTCCCACGTACATACGGTGGAGACAGGTCCACAAAGCCTAAAATATCTACTACCAGTCTTTTCCACAATACTGTACTCACCATTATTGCTAGATAAAACACAGAGTGCTTAAGTGTATCAAATCTCTGAGAAGGTAAAGATTCTCAGGCTAAGCCAGGTGCTAGTGGCCCACACCTGTAACCCTAGCTACTGAGGAGACTGAGATCTGAGGCTCACGGTTCAAAGTCAGCCCAGGCAGGAAAGGCCATGAGACTCTTATCTCCAATAAATCACTAGAAAACCAGAAGTAGCCCTGTGGCTCCAGTGGTAGAGTGCTCGCTTTGAGCTGAAGAGTTCAGGGATAGCGCCAAGGCCCAGAGTTCAAGTCCCATGACCAACAACAACAACAAAAAGATTCTCAGGCTATAATCTCGATGACACTGGGAACCCAGAGGGGTAAGGAGAGCACAGAAATTGCTTCTGTTCTGAGGACAGGTCGAATCCGGTAACTCCCCTGGTGGTATCCTTGCAAAATCCAAGTTAGGACCACCTGGGGAGCGGTCCCCTCCAACCAGCCATCCAAAGACCTAGGTCTTCAGGGGAAGCATAAACCAAAACCAGAGCCACATCCACACCCCAGATCCTCAAAGAAACCTCACCTACTGCTGAAGGACAGAGCATGGAAGATGCTGCTGCCAGGAGCCCAGGCATCACCTGTGTAGTTAAAAACAAACAGAGACACCTCCAAGCTCTGAATCTGATTCAAAAGTGAGCCTAGATCCCTGCACTAGGCAGGAATGCACCTTTGCTGGTGGCCTTTTATCATTACAACTGACAATCTCTTAGAACCCTGCCTAACAATTCCAGTCAGAAACTGCACAAGATTAGATACAGAAACACAGACACACAAGAGGCTCATGCCTGTAATCCTAGCTACTCAGGAGACTGAGATCTGAGGATCAGGGTTCAAAGCCTGAGACTTATCTCTAACCATCAGAAAACCAGAAGTGGTACTGTGGTTCAAAGTGGTAGAGCACTAGCCTTGAGCAAAAGAGCTCAGGGACAGAGCCCTGGCCCTGACTTTAAGGCCCATGACCAACCAAATGAAAGAAAATTCAGGGGCTGGGAAGTTGGCTCAGTGGTAAGAGTGCTTGCCTCGCATGCATGAGGCCCTGGGTTCAATTCCTCAGCACCACATAAGCAGAAAAAAGCTGGAAATGGTGCTCAAGTGGTAGAGCGCTAGCCTTGAGCTGAGGGACAGCTCCCAGGCACCGAGTTCAGACCCCACCACCGGACCCAAAAAAAAAAAATTCATATTTTTTTCCCGTAAGCCTGTTTATTTTGCTGTGTTTTTATTTGTTTTTATTTTAACTCCATGGATTGTCATGGAACCCCTCCCCCACTATCCAATACAGGCCATTTGACTTAGACCCTTTACCCCAGCCGCTCCCAGGTACTTCCAACTCTCCCTCCCTCCTACCCTTCCCTCTGGTTTTCATGTCTGAATCAACTCCTGCCTGCCAGGACTCTTATCCATGCCCTTTCTACAGCTCTTTACCACTTAAACCTCTATGGACAAGCGTCCTTCCTCTTCCTGTGTTCTGCCCCGCCCCCACCCCACACCTCATTACCTCGCTCTCACCCGGCAACCTGACTGCCAGGGCATCACCTGCTTTTGCTTCTTGTCAGTGGTTTTGAATCGGGGTGCTGGTTGTTGCTTCAGTTGTGTTTATGCAATTCTACTAGCCTCTCTACCCCAACAGCAATGCCAACTAGATCTCTACTTACCTGTCCACTTTCTCGATTACCTCTTTGGTCAAATTTAACTCCCACCTTTGCTTTCCCTGGACAACAAATACCCAGTATTAGTCATTCCTGTCACCCGCTCCCCTGCCCCTTGCTACCCCCACTCTGGTCGGTCTTCCTGCAGCATGAAGATACAGCCGTCAGGGAGACCAGTGGTCTGTGGGGGCCACACACACACACACACACACACACACACACACACACACACACACACACACACACACACACACACACACACACACACACACACACACACGAGGTTGTGGTTTATCATCTGCAATCTCTCCCGCAGCCAAGCTTCCTCACCCTGCGTGGAGATGAATTCCAGGGTCTTGGGCATTGAAACAGCTTGACAACCCAAATCCATCCCTGCTCCAATCTAACAATATGAAAATACACCACCAGCCCGTTATTACCCAGTCTTGAGGAATCTGCAAGAAGTCACCAACTCAATTTTAAAAGACACAAGAAATTGAAATTCCTCACCCAACTTGTGCCCTAGATGTGTAAATACCACTGGTGGTGGGAAATCAACAAATAATTACAAAGCAATGGGATTGGTTTAAAGCTTCCCAGATGAAGGAACAATAGGAAAAACCTGAGGGCAGCTTTCAAAGAACAATGCATGGATCCTGGAAGGCAAGTGGGACTTTCCAGACATGTGAGTGCTCACAGACCTGGTCCTGCTAAGCTTAAGGCTTCCCTACAACAATGGAGATCCTCAGAGGGGAAGGGAAGCAACTTGCCAAGATTATTTTGCAACTATGTTAGCTCTGTCCTGTCCTACCCTCTCTCTCTTCCTTGGAGATTATGTTAAGGACAGGTAGTGGCAGTCAACCAAGTGAGAGGCCCTAAGGCAAATCCCAGGATTTCCCAAAACAAAACCCCTATAACCATACAGAAAACAGAATGATACTCATCTACCCACCAGCAAACCCAAAAAGTCACATTCTGTCCTGTCTTCTCTCTTTTGCTGGTACTGGGGGTGGGGGTGTGTTTTTTTGTCAGTCTTGGGGCTTGAACTCTGGGCCTAGGCGCTGTCCCTCAGCTCTTCAACTCAAGATGAATGCTCTACCACTTCAGCCACAGCACCACTTCAGGATTTCTGGTGGTTTATTGGAGATAAGAGTCTCATGGAGCCAGGCGCTGGTGGCTCACTCCTGTAATCCTAGCTACTCAGGAGGCTGAGATCTGAGGATCTCGGTTCAAAGCCAGCCCAGGGAAGAAAAGATCATGAGACTCCTATTTCCAATAAACCACTAGAAAACCGGAAGTGGCGCTGTAGCTCAAGTGGTAGAGCGCTCGCCTTGAGCTGAAGAGCGCAGGGATAGCGTCCAAGCCCAGAGTTCAAGCCCCATAGCTGACCAAAAAAAAAAAAGAGTCTCATGGACTTTCCTATCCAGGCTGGCTTTGAGCTGTGATCCTCAGATCTCAGCCTCCTGAGTAGCTAGGATAACAGGAGTGTGCCACTGGCGCCCAGCTGGTACTGGGGTTTGAACTTAGGGCCTCACCCCTGTTAAGCTAGCATTCTACCCCTTGAGCCATGCCTTCAGCCAGCTTTTAGCTGTTTCAGAGACGGAGTTTTGATGACTTTTCTGCCTGGGTTGTCCTCTGGATCTCACCTTCCTAAATACTAGGATTATATAGACATGAGCCACTGACACCAACTCTGCCTCTATTTTTGTGCCAGTTCTGCTATGGTCTTATTTGTTTATTGTGTGGGTCCTAGACCTTGAATTCAGGGCCTAGGTTCTGTCCTTGAGATTTCTGCTCAAGGCTGGTGCTCTTACCACTTGAGCCACAGCTCTACTTCCAGCTTCTTTGGTGGTTAAGTGGAGATTGAGAGTCTCACAGTGGTTCCTGCTCCAACTGGCTTTGAACCAAGATTCTTAGATCTTAGCCTCCAGAGCAGCTAGGATTATAGGTGCAAGCCGGACATCTTTAAGACTTGGCTTCTTCATGAGGAAGCTCAAGGCAACAGCTTGTGTGTGTGTGAGCGCGTGCGGGCACCAGTAGTGGGTTCTTGAACTCAGGGCCTCAGGCTCCGCCCCCCCCAGGCTGGTGCTCTGACACTTGAGCCACACCTCTACTTTGGGTTTTTGGGTAGTTCTCTTGAGCTTGTCTCGGCCTCCTGAGTAGCCACACTAGCAGGTAAGGGCTACCAGCGCCCGCCTTCCACCGCCTCCTAGTAAACTTTGCTACCTCTGACCGAACGGAAGCCCAACGAAGGAAAAGCTGGTGCCGCCGGCCATTTCCTGCGCTCCAGACCTCGGCCTCGCCTGTCCACCGCGGCGGGGCCGGGCCGCGGGGGCTGCGCGGCGGGCGCCCGCCCCAGCCCCGGGGCCTGGCGCGCGGGACGCCGCGCTGGGCAGCGCCCGCGTGCGGCTCCGTTCCGGCATTTAAAGCCCCCACCGCCACCAAACGCCCCGGCGGACCCGCGGGGTGCGGGCCGGAGCCTGGGCAGCCCCGGGTTCTAGTCAAGGCCCGCGGCACACGGAGCCCCGGGCCGGGGCTGGCAGGCTCCGGGCCAGGCGCCGACCACACGGACCCGACCCTAACGGCGAAGGCCCGCCGCAGCTCCCCCGTCGGGAGCGCCGAGGTTCCACTCTCCGCGCACCGAAGACCTCACGGGCCGGGGCCTGCGGGCCGGCTTTCGGTTGCGGCCGCACTCACCTGTCACCTCACGCCCCTCCGCGGGCTCCCGAGGACCCAGCGCGGCGGAACCAGAATCCAAACTCCCCGCGCCGCCACCGCCTCTCCCGCGCCGCGCGCCAGCTCACTGCGCGCGCCCCAAGTCGGGAGGTTCTGATTGGCTGCGTCCTGAGAGTGCTGACCAATACAGTGTCTTCTATCGTTTATTTCCCGCCTCCCAAGCTATTGGGGCGGAGCCCCGTACGCCGCTCGGCGGGGCACGTAGCCTCCTAATGGCCAATCAGAGTGCGGAAGCAGACGTCAGATGACTGTGGTCCAACCCCCGGCGGCTTCCGGTGATGACTGGGGACGTCGTTGGGAGTGTATTTCCCGGTTCTGGTAAAGACTGCGAGGGGAGCTCCCGCGGGGACCCCGGGTCGTGGCGGGGTTGGGGCTTTCTGGCGCGGGCCGGCCGGGACTCGCGGTGCCCACGCTCCGCCCACCCGGACCGCGCGCCCGCCGCAGGTGTCGCGGGCGGGAGACGACGGGGGCCCGGCGCGAGGCTCGCCTCCCGGCCGCGCCGAGCGGGCTTCGCCGTGCCCGCGCCGAGCCCGCGCCGAGCCCCCCGCCGTGCCCCCCGCAGTGCCCCCCGCCGTGCCCCCCGCAGTGCCCCCCGCAGTACCCCCGTCGTGCCCCCGCCGTGCCCCCGCAGTACCCCCCGCAGTACCCCCGTCGTGCCCCCGCAGTGCCCCCCGCAGTACCCCCGTCGTGCCCCCGCAGTGCCCCCGCCGTGCCCCCCGCAGTGCCCCCGCCGTGCCCCCCGCAGTACCCCCGTCGTGCCCCCGCAGTGCCCCCGCCGTGCCCCCCGCCGAGCCTGCGCCGAGCCCCCCGCAGTGCCCGCGCCGAGCCCCCCGCAGTACCCCCGCCGTGCCCCCCGCAGTACCCCCGCCGTGCCCCCCGCAGTGCCCCCGCAGTGTCCCCGCAGTGCCCCCGCCGTGCCCCCCGCAGTACCCCCGCCATGCCCCCCGCAGTGCCCCCGCAGTACCCCCGCAGTGCCCCCGCCGTGTCCCCCGCAGTGCCCCCGCAGTGTCCCCGCCATGCCCCCCGCAGTGCCCCCGCAGTACCCCCGCAGTGCCCCCGCCGTGTCCCCACAGTGCCCCCGCCGTGCCCCCCGCCGTGCCCCCCGCAGTGCCCCCGCCGTGCCCCCGCAGTGTCCCCGCCATGCCCCCCGCAGTGCCCCCGCAGTACCCCCGCAGTGCCCCCGTCGTGTCCCCACAGTGCCCCCGCCGTGCCCCCCGCCGTGCCCCCCGCAGTACCCCCCGCCGTGTCCCCGCCGTGTCCCCCGCAGTGCCCCCGCCGTGCCCCCCGCAGTGCCCCCGCCGTGCCCCCGCAGTGCCCCCGCCGTGCCCCCCGCCGTGTCCCCACAGTGCCCCCGCCGTGCCCCCCGCCGTGCCCCCGCAGTGCCCCCGCCGTGCCCCCGCAGTGCCCCCGCCGTGCCCCCGCAGTGCCCCCGCCGTGTCCCCACAGTGCCCCCGCCGTGCCCCCCGCAGTGCCCCCGCCGTGTCCCCCGCAGTGCCCCCGCCGAGCCCCCCGCAGTACCCCCGCCGTGTCCCCACAGTGCCCCCGCCGTGTCCCCGCCGTGTCCCCGCAGTGCCCCGCAGTGCCCCCGCAGTGCCCCCCGCCGTGCCCCCCGCCGTGTCCCCGCAGTGCCCCCCGCCGTGCCCCCCGCAGTGCCCCCGCCGTGTCCCCGCAGTGCCCCGCAGTGCCCCCCGCCGTGCCCCCCGCCGTGTCCCCGCAGTGCCCCCGCCGTGTCCCCGCAGTGCCCCGCAGTGCCCCCCGCCGTGCCCCCCGCCGTGTCCCCGCAGTGCCCCGCAGTGCCCCCCGCCGTGTCCCCGCAGTGCCCCCCGCCGTGTCCCCGCAGTGCCCCCCGCCGTGCCCCCGCCGTGTCCCCGCAGTGCCCCGCAGTGCCCCCCGCCATGGCCCCGCAGTGCCCCCGCCATGCCCCCGCAGTGCCCCCGCAGTGCCCCCCCGCCGTGTCCCCGCAGTGCCCCCCGCCGTGTCCCCGCAGTACCCCCGCCGTGCCCCCCGCAGTGCCCCCGCCGTGTCCCCGCAGTGCCCCGCAGTGCCCCCGCCATGTCCCCGCAGTGCCCCCCGCCGTGCCCCCGCAGTGCCCCCCGCAGTGCCCCCCGCAGTGCCCCCGCCGTGTCCCCGCAGTACCCCCGCAGTGCCCCCGCCGTGCCCGCGCCGTGCCGGGCCCGAGTCTTCCCGCCTCCCGCCCGACCCGCGAACCCGGTGAATGCTCATGGGCGCGGCTATCCCGGGAGACACTGCGGAGGTGTCTGAAGAAGGTAAAATGGGGCCACACGGCCCGGCCACTGTACCCAGAGCACAAGAAACCACCTGCAGCCGTCCGCACTATCAGGCCCCTGGCCGTGTTCATCGAAGACAAGACAAGAAACCAAACGAAGGACTGAACCAAGAAACGCTGGCATGTGTCCCTAATGGAATATTAGTCACCCCTAAAACAAGAGCCACGCTTTCCCATTGCCACGGTAGATGGCCTGGAAGACCCTGTGCTCAGGGAAACGTCAGACACGGGAAAATGCTCCCTGATCTCAGGTGTGAGATCTAAAGTGTTTCACACGCAGAGACTAAAGGAGTAGAGAGATGCCGGTCAGCTACAAAGCAGCAGGTGTGCCGGATGGAGTCTAGAAATCTCATGTAAAACAGGCGCACTATAGGAGAGAAAGTACTGTTGCTATTGCCACCAAAGAAAAAGTAACTAGAATGGTTACATCTATTTATTTCCCTTATAGTGATCTTTATACTCAGTGTATCACCAAATATCATGCTTCATACCACAAAAATCCCCACCCCAATTTTTTTAATGGCTGAGCTCAGTCGTTCACATCTATCATCCCAACTACTCAGGAGGCAGCTCTGAAGGATGGAAGTTCAAAGCCAGCCTAGGCAAAAGTGGCAAGACTCCATTCCAACAACTAAGCCATGTGAATGCACACACCTGTCATCCCAGCTCCAGCGCCCCAAACCTTGTCGCCATTTCCCCTCTGTCCCACCCATCCTCCCTTTGCTGTAGTTTTACTCACTGACAGATTTGGAAAGAATGAACCTAATGTGTGTGTTCAATCTGCACTCAGCCCAGAACTACTGTACTCCCTAATTGTAAAAAAAATGATTTAAGTAACATTTCCTGGAAGCAGTTCTTATGCAGTCTGCCAGCAGCCTTCTGTCTATTGTCCCCCCGTAGCAAGGCCTCAGAAGAGGCTTCTCTTTTATTATTTCACAAGAGGTTTCTTAATTTCTCTTTCTTTTGTCCTTAAGGGCCTTGAAGCTGCTAAAATAAATCATCGTTATGCCTGTCTGAAGCCCATTACTTGGACATGATGTATCAGAAAAGAGATGCCTGCTTGCTCACTTGTTTGCTTGTGGGAATGTAGCTCTCCTTGGGGACCCGTCTCCCCACCACTGCACAAATGAATACCTTCTTGGACATGCCTGGCCTTGGCTGACAGGAACTATAAGACACGCTCCAAATACAAAACCTCTGTTACATCTAACCCAAGCTAACAATGTTAAATAATTACCTTGGCCTTAAAACCTTCTTTAAACAAGTCCCAGCAGCCTCGACCTGACACATCCACCATGGCAGAGTGCAGCCCCTTTTCTTCCCACTAAACAACTGAATCTCTCCCAACAGGAAAATCTTACATTTTACTCATTTCATCTCATTTGCACCACTAAATAAATCCAGCATCTTCTTTTTTTCCTTTTTTTGTGGTACCGGGGGTTGGACTCTCCACTGGCTTCAGGCCGGAGATGGAATGATGCTCCCTTCTGTGGTCAGTACTTAGCGGTTGTCTGCTTTCACACACACATACACTCACACACACATACACACCCTGACCCCATGAATCCATCAGGATTTTCATTGGTCCCGCTGTAAAGTTTGGCTGTTCACATTTATTTGGGCACGTAGATCTCAGAACACTGTGGGATCATGACCTTTTTATATCTAACAGGGGTCTGACCTCTTAAATATGACCACCAAAGGAATGGTCTGTGAAAGAAAGAACAAAGCAGCTGGGCGCCAGTGACTCACACCTGCAATCCTAACTACTCAGGAGGCTGAGATCTGAGAATCACACAGGAAAGTCTGTGAGGCTCTTCTCTCCAATTAACCACTACAAAACTGGAAGTGGCATTGTGGTTCAAGGTGGTAGAGCACTACCCTTGAGCAAAAAGAGCTTAGGGACAGCACCCACGCCCTGAGTTCAAGCCCTACAACCAACCAAAAAAAAAGGCTGCAGAATAGTGCCCAGGCCCTGAGTTCAAGCTTCAGGACCAACATAGACATACACACACACACACACACACACACACACACGGAAAGAAATCACATAAATAGAAATGCAGGTTTGCAGATGTATACCGGCGCGGCCATATCCAAAACAGACCATCATCATTAAAGGTTGCTAGTGGTTTTACATGGTAGCTCACACTTATGACCTCAGTGAGTGAGAGAATCACAGTTTGTCTGGGCAAAATGAAGACATCTCAGTCAAGGCTGGCACCGCAGCAAGCAAGAGTCAGCCCAATCCTACAGGAGGCTGTATGTAGGAGGACTGTGATCGAGGACCATCCCCAGGGAAAAATATGAGACCCTATCTGAAAAATACCTAAAGCATAAAGAGCCGAGGCATGGTTCAAGTGGCTGAGCGCACTGGCCTAGCAAGGGCAAACCTCTAAGTTTGACCCCGGTATCAGGGAAACCACACAGTCTCACGCTCAGATGTGACCTGACCTTGCTCTGCGATGAGAGGAAGGGAAGAAGGGCAGTCATTCGGACAGATGCTGGCCACTGTCGATTCAGAAAGACGGGCAGAGAAAGGACAAAATGACATTTACCACATTTTTTATTGGCTTCAGTCAGTTGTACAGGGCTTTTATTTTGACATGCCATAGGTGTACAACGTATGTCTCTCCCACACCTGCCGCGCTCCCTCATCCCCCTCCCTCTTCCCACACCATCTCAGAAAACTGAAAAAAAAGAAGAAGAAAGGAAAAGAAACTGGCTAATACGTGTGCAGAGGCCTGATTCACACAGCCCGAGGCCACCCGCTGGCCTCGCTGACCAGTGAAACGGACATCACTGTCAGAGATGGTTTCTTGGAAAGACACGGACCGCCCTGCCCTTTCTCGGTGCGCTCCAGGGACCCCACACATGGACCCACTGTGAAGCGACGTTGTGATGAGGGGCAGTTCCGAGCCCCACTGGCGCCCGTGGCTCTGCATCCCGCCGGCAGACGCTTCTGCTGTCTCTGCTCTGTGGTCCTCTACCTCCCTGCCTGCCCTTTATTCTCTTTTTGTTCTTTTGGTCAGTACTGGGGCCTGAACTCAGGGCCTGGGCACTGTCCCTGAGCTGCTTTTGCTCAAGGCTAGTGCTCTACCACTTGAGCCACAGAGCCACTTCCCCCTTTTTCTGAGTAGTTTATTTCTGCCCTGTCTGGTTTTGAACTGCAATCCTCAGATCTCAGCCTCCTGAGAAGCTAGAATTACAGGTGTGAGCCACCAGTGCCTGGCCCCGAGACTCGTATCTGTGATAAGCCATGAGCAGAATTGTGGCTTAAAGGGTAGACAATAGTCTTGAGTGGAAAAGCTAAGGGACAGTGCCAAGCCTCTGAGTTTAAGACCCAGTACTGGCATTAAAAAAAAAAAAAGTAAAGAGGCTGGAAGGTGGCTTAGTGGTAGAGCTCTTGCCTAGCATGCATGAAGCCCTGAGTTCCATTCCTCAGTACCACATACACAGAAAAAGCTGGAAGTGGTGCTGTGATTCAAGTGGTAGAGTACTAGCCTTGAGCAAAAGAATCTCAGGGACAGAGCCAAGGCTCTGAGTTCAAGCTCCAGGACTAGCAAAAAAAAAAAAAAAATAGAGCTAAAAAATAAACAATGGAAGAAATAAAAGAGACTACCAAAATACTTGATTAATTGAAGACAGGAAAGAAGCATTAAGAACAAAAGCTAGGTGGGGAAAATAGAAAACACATTGCAGGATGGTAGATTCAAATCCAGTCATGTCAGACATTGCATTCAATATAGAGCAAACACTTTAGATAAAAAGCAGGCATTATACAATTAGATTAAAAGTGACCAACTCTCTTGCCCTTTAAGTGATTTATTTGAAATGTTATATATATATATATATAAGAAATGTTATGTAGAAATATTGAGAGTGGACTGGGAATGTGGTTTAGTGATAGAGTGCTTGCCTAGCATGAAGTCCTGGGTTCGATTCCTCAGTACCACAAAAACAGAAAAAGCCAGAAATGAAGCTGTTTCTCAAGTAGTAGAGTGCTAGCCTTGAGAAAAAGAATCTCAGGAACAGTGCCCAGGCCCCATGTTCAAGTGCCAGAACTGGCACAAAAAAATACAGAAGAGAACAAGTAGGAAAACTCTATCAGTATCAAATAAAGCCATTAAGATAAGGCGGAGAACCAGATAAAGACAAGTTGGAAAATTTCACCTTGTGAAAGATAAAGACTTGGCAATCCTAAATGTGTATCCCTATTAATTGTACTTGTTTTCTAGGGTTATTATAACTAAGCAACAGAGTTATTGGGTGGCCTTGTCCATAGAAAGTAGGTTCTCCTAGTTGGGAGTTTAGAGGTTTCAAGGCCATGGAATTTTCAGGGTTAATTACTTCTGAAAGCTGTTGTCTTCTGGGTCTTCAGATCATCATCCCTCTTTTAATGTCTGGCCAAACTCCCTCTGATTTCCCCTTCCCATTCATCCTCTTTACAATACAAGTTCCACAAGTTTCATCCTCTTACTTTCACAGTTGAAAACAATTTACTTCAACCATACTCCCTCTTTCATCCTCCTTGCTAGTTTAACCCCTCCTGCTAGTACCCCCTTCCCAGCCTGTTTCTCTTTCAAAATTTCAAATTTCATGTGTGTGTGTGTGTGTGTGTGTGTGTCCTGGGGCATGAACTCAGGGCCTAGGTGCGGTCCCTGAGCATTGTGGCTCAAGGCTAATACTCTACCACTTGAGCCACAGCTCCATTTTTGGCATTTCTTTTGGTGGTTAATTGAAGAGTCTCAGGGACTTTCCTGAACCAGGCTGGCTTCAAACTTTAACCCTCAGATCTCAGCTTCCTGAGTAGCTAGCATTACAGGCATGAGCCACTGGCTTCTGGACCAAATTTCCTCTTATAAGGATGCCAGGAACACTGGACTAGAGCCTAACCTATTTATTTTAATTCAAATACCTCTGTAAACACCCTATCAGCAGACACAGTCACACTCCCAGCACCAGAGGTCAGAGCATGTGAAACTTGTGAGAGGCACAGGTCAGTCTGTAGCAGTAAGGAGCTCCCAGATGCCGGGGGAAAGAGGCTGTAGGGTTGAAGTTCAGTGGTAGAATGCTTGCCTACCACACAGGGCCTGGGTTCAGTGC